TTAAACCGTTTAAACACATTTTAACTGTTTATGTATCTGGTATAGTTTTTTGCCTGGGCTCCAAAGTCAGTGAAATATTGATGGGAAGGGTTAAGCTATTCTTTTTATTATATTTTCTAGTGTGCTTCAAATACCATCCCCTGCCATACTTCCTGCTGCATGTGTGAGCACCCTGCTGTGCACATTTGAAAACATTATTAATTGCCCCAACAAGAGGCTCTCCTGCACTAGGCAGGAACTGTGAGCTTGAGTCCTTAGGGTTTGGTTAACAGGTCTAAGCATACACAGCTCAGAAGAGCAATGACAGGACACTAGGTCTCAGTCTTAGGCTGTGTGAGTGGAAGTTTAGGCTAGACATTAGGAAAAAATCAATCACTGAAAGAGTGATGGGGCATTGAAATGGGCTGCTCAGCAAGGTGGTGGAGTCACCATCCCTTAAGATGTTTAAAAGAAGACAGGATGTGGCACTGAGTGCCATGGTTTAGATGATAAGGTGGTGTTAGGTCACAGGTTGGACTTGATCTTCTCAAAGTGATCCTGTGATTATTTGACTTGAAGGAAAACCAATCACATCCTCCAGGCATAGGAATGGTGAGAGGAATAACTGAGGCTGACAGAAAAGGTTGGTGAAAAGAGTGAAAAAAAAAAAAAAGAGAGGGAAAAAATGAAGGCTAAATACAAGGTAGGACTCATGGGCAACTCCCTCCTTGCATGAGACATATTAAAACATTCTTACATCTTTTCTTCAAAGAATATCTTAGTTCAGCCTGTTACAGCTTAGTTCAGAAAATATTGGGTGCTTTGCTGTCAAGGTCTTGAAAACACCTCTAAAGAGACAGATTGTGCCCAATGTCTGAGAAACTCTTCTTAGCATCCGTCTGTCCTAAGTGGGAATTAAAAGCACAGCACTGATCTGTCCAGAGCCTGTCCATCACAGGCCAGACCAGGGGAAAGAGTTGTGATGCCAAATGAAAGTGGTTGCTACACCTTCACTGTCCCAGGGCTCGCTGCTGCTGATCTTCATTCACTCTTGGTTACCCACATTCCCCAATGCCCACCTGAAATCAGTGCTGCTAAAAGTCAGTAGGACCCACCTTAACTCAATGTTAAATCCAGCTTGAACATGGATAGTCCATTCACATCGTGCATTCAGTGGGTAACCCTCCAGCAAAATCTGACCTCTAGAAGCCCGAAGAACCTGCCCACACCCTGGGGAGAAAAAGAATAAAAAAGTTGTGTGAAGGACCTTCAAGAGACATTTGAAGAAAATATATGTAGAAATAACATCAGAAGAAGACAACAGAATGGCTCAGGAAGATACACTAGTTCTTACAAGGCAGTGTATAAAATACTGGGACAGCCACACAATGGTTGTAAAGAGTTATGACTATACTGGAGTATTGTCTAGGCTAAGAGTACCCCCAGGAAAGACGTAGTTGATTGCTTCTCCCTGGTTTGCAATGTAGTCCCATGAAACCCTTTCTTGCAGCTTTTGTCTCTCTGTTAATGAGCCAGCCTACGCACTGGGCTGATGCTCTAGCTCAGAACAGTTTTGATGGAGTCCATGCTGACATTTGCAACCACTGAAGCTGAGGAAGCTAGTAGGAAAGTGACAAAACTACAATGAACACCTGAATTAGCCCAAGTGAGCAAAAGAATGAGACAAAAAATCTGTTGCACCCAACATCATGGTTGCTAGTCCTTCATAAGGAGACTCTGGAAGGAAAAAGATCTGATATATTCCTAGAGGACAAGTTTGTCCTCAGGATTCACTACATCATCCTTTCATTTTAATGCCACCGTGCCAATGAAGATATATAAACATCACAGCTCCTCTATCATCAGTGTGACACTGATGACTCAGTGTGACACATATAGAATATACAGCCCTTATCCCTTCTTTCAGGTTCATTCTTATCCTTCCTCTAGTCTTGTTCCACTCTGCCTGTGCTGATCTCAGTTTTTCACCATACTATGGAATGTACTTCAGCACCAGGATAAGATGAAGTGCTCCAGTCATTTGTGCCCAATCTAAGAAAACCATCAGAGGACAATGAGCTGAACAAACAGCAGACAAGGTCACACCATGGGGGAGCAATATCTTTTCATGACTATCCTGCAGCTGTCCCTAGGCATCTGTCCAGGGATAGCTGTCCTAATTCCTCATCTTGAATGCTGAACATTTTTAGCCCAGAGAGTTCTCTCACCTTCAGTAACCTCTCCCTTTTCCCCAGCTATAAAATAATTTTATTTTCGTCTGTGGAAGATGCAAAGTTGTTTAGTCATTTTTGCAAAGCTTACTGTGATTGGCACATGCACATCCTAGCAAAATGCACACTTAAATCACTGTGTACCAGACAGACCTAATTTTTAAGTTCCTACTTTCCTGACTACATCTTTCTGAGTGGAGTCTTGCATATGGCTACATCCCCTGGTAAGCCTTCTGTTGCTTTGCTGGACTATGAGGCTGTATCTGTAAGACAAAAATTGCACTTCAGTCTAACAATGTCACCTAATCAGGAGAGTCTACACACCACAGATGAGGATAAGGAAAAAGCTGAATGACCCAAAAGACCTCCACAGCAATTCTCTCACTTCTTTTTACCTCTTCAGGCTGACAAAGCTCTGCTGCTTCCATCTGTTTCCCTAGAGAAACCCTAAGCTTTTAACCAGTAACCCAGGATGAATGTTTCCTACTGAAACAGAGGGTTTTAACACTCGCCTCCGGGCCCTTCCTTCCCAAGGGAGAAAGGGTGACAGTGACCTGATTTGGTCAGTAGTACTGAGCATCTGTAGTTCCCATTGATCATAGTGTCTGGAAATCAATCCTGCTGCATCTGGTCTATGGGGAAACATGAAGACTGCAGGTCAATTCCTCCTCTTTCTTCTTAAGAAAGTGTTGCTCAAATGAAATACCCTTTGTTCATTTACCCTCGGTTACCCTTAATTAAGCAGGACCCAAGGAAACAGAAATCCTGCTTAGAAGAGTTCCTCAAAAGTGTTTCATCCTCTTCTGTGACTCGCTCAGTTCCCCCTGTAAAAGGCGAGGATTAATGAGTGTGCCCAGCAACCACATTAGGATTCAACGAGTACAGCAGGATCTGCTGTGGTGAAAATGATAATGCTCCTTCCCACAGCAAGAAACAGGCCCTTGTGCTGCCATTGGCTCCTGCCTCAAAAACAACCTGAGACAAAGCTGCTAGAAATCTTCAGAGGGTTTGACAGGGGGCTTGGACCACCTCAAAGAAAGTTTCCCTTTCGTCCTGAAGGGCTTTTGAGTTTTCGATGCCTTTAACAAAGGAAAGCCAAAGAACTGGTGCAAAGAGATACTTGTATGCACGGCATACTAAACACACTTCTCTGTTTGCCGTGGTACAGCCTGAACTCTCTGAACACTGGCGCCGAGGAAGTAGGTTTGGCCAGCAAAGCAGGTGGTCCAGGGACTAAAGAGAAGCCATTCAGTGACCATCTCCAAAAGAACGTTCTCAGGTTTACTCCCACCCTTCTCTGCACGAAACACCTTTGCAATCACATCAAATCTGTGCTCTTTAATCTCCAGCGCTTCTAGACGTTAGGCTGACACCCCAAACCAACAGTTCAATCATATGTTGATCAAAAGGAGACTCTCTCTTCCTATTCTAAATCTGCGGGAGACCTGGAAAGCTCTCAAAAATAATTTACATCATAAACACAAATGCTGGCAAATTCTGCCTCATTTACAAAAAAATAAACCACTTTGGCAGAGTATCAACATCCTTGTTCCGTTCCTGTTCCTGAAAAAAAGGCAGCTTTCAGGGCCACAGTAAGATTTCCTCCAAGGCTTGTTACTAACAGAGAATAAAAAAATTCAGGAGACCTCTGAGTTGTAGCCCACAGAGACCCATGGGTCTATGGAGGGAGAGGTCCTGAGACGACCTCTGGTAAGAACACATTATCTTCTGTTTGAGTGCTGCATCTTAGATGTGATGCTCCTTCAAAGGTCAAGATGATTGAAGAGAGGAGAAAGACAGTAGAAAGGTTTCTGCTATACAGAAACAGGCTGATATGGGAGGGCAGCTGTCACTTATCACAACTTGTTGCTTCCTGTTGGTTGTTGGTCACCAGTATTATGTGAAACAGTAATGTTCAGAAAGTTTCAAGAACTACAAGTACTACAAGTACTCTTGTCTGGCACAGGGTCTACATTTGGACAGCAGAGCTGAGAACAGCTGTTAGAAAACACCACTTTCTCCTCTGCTTTGATGGAGCATGTGCTTTGAAGCGACATTACAACTTGGGGCTGGGAAAAGCTGTTGGAGCGCAGGGTACACTGCAGGGTCGGTTTTCTTCTGGTTTTAGAGCCTGATGTGCCTTCTAGATCATGATAATTCAATCCAAGAGAAGTCCCATTAGGAAATATCCTAGCAGCAATTAAATCTAGTCAGTGTGCTTATTTCCTAATAGCATTCCTTTGGCCTACACTATATTATTTGTTTACCAAATGATCTGGTATCCTTTGGTGGGTTTTCAGCCACATCCATGCTTCCAGCCATGCCAGCAGACACTATAAGCCTGACAGACCCATGGACCATCCGGTCGCATGGCCCTCCATCATCACTGCTTTTGCTGGCAGTTCCCACAGATCTCTCCCGGGGGCTCACCCCGCGCTGGCGAATGCCCTCAGCCCCTGAAGCGCTGCCGGGGGCTAGGCCCCGCTGTTCTCCCGGAGGCACCCAGCCCGTGCCACCCAGTACAGCGTCAATAGGCACTGATCCTGCCCGCAGACCCTCCGCATCTCCTCACGGCGCGCATCCCGCGGGATGACCGGGGCCTCACGGCGCGGCCTCACGGCGCGGCCTCCCGCGGAATCCCGGCTGCCCCCTACCGCCCGTGCGGCGCCGCTGCCGCCGGGGCCCGCGGGGCCGGGGCTGCCGTGCCCGCCGTGCCCGCGGGGCCGGGGCTGCCGTGCCCGCCGTGCCCGCGGGGCCGGGGCTGCCGTGCCCGCCGTGCCCGCGGGGCCGGGGCTGCCGTGCCCGGGAGCTGCCTCAGCACGGCCCGGCAGCGCGGGTACGCGGCCGGAGCGGCGCTGGCCCTGCCGGCCGGCCCGGCGCGGAGCTGGCAGCGCCCGCCGGCCCCGCCAGAGGGAGACAGAGCCCGGCGCTCCCGCCCGGAGCTGCGCCCAGCCCCGGCGGCGCCGGCATTGGCCGTGTAGGGCGAGGTAGGCGCATTACATCCCGCTATTACCGTGCTGGCGCTTCTTTGTGATTCTGGGATTTCTTGGCCCTCTGCTGCTGGCGCGGCACCCAAGGGCTGGCTGCAAAGTTTCAGCTGTGGTGCCCTACGTGGGTACCAAAGAGAGACGGCTCCTCCTGTGCTGTCCCAGCTGTGCTGCGTTAGCACATCCACGGCTCCGGCAGCCCGTGCCTGCAGGCATGCCAAGGCTACTTGCTGGCCGCCCTCCAGAGCCAAAGCCGCATCGCTGTGAGGCACAGTCCAGCACCCATCATGGTTATGGGCTGCTTTCCAGTTCTCTGCATGCCTGAGCACACCAAAATTGAGATAGCCACAAAAGGGGAGCTCAGGATGTGCTGGGGTCACAACTATCCTGTGTCCCCACTCTAAGAGTGGAAGAGACAACAGCACTCACTGTCAAACCTTCCTACCCCACCTCTCAAGCACCACAGAAACACATGAAAGAGAATACAGCCTCACTGTCACACTGCTTCCCTTAAAAGAGCAAGCAGTAAGAAAAACGTTATAAGACAAAGCTGTCCAAAATTTCGGTACTGCAAAAATGTCCAAGTAGACCTCTGTGTGAAGGTGTATTTGCTTCAATACAAGTTGGAAGTATAACCTGAAATATACAGTAGGCAACCAATGTATTCAGGCAGATGGAGGAAAAATTAGATGAGTTAATGACTCTTTCTTGGTTCTGCTTTTAAAGAAAATTCCAGAGAAGCTCCAGCATGCACGTAGAGAAAATGTGACTTTAAAGTGTTCTCAGAAATCACACTGTAAACAGCAAGGGACTCAGTTAATCAAATTCCAAAGCCTCAAGGTAGAGTTAGCTCTGCTGCTGAAACATGTGGATTCTCAGTATTCTGCTATTTGAAGCAATGATTTTATTTCATATACTTTCACCTCCTGAATGGTCATGGGCAGTGTTGTGAAAGCAAGTTAAATTGTTGCTTTAATGACTAAGAGGACACAAGCCTAAGGTATGTAATACATTGGACAGAACAGAGTAGGGTAAGCAGACTGCTTTTATCCCTTCCAGTGAAATATGAACAAAGAGGCAGTCAATAAAAATTGAAAGAGAGCTTCATCTTCAGTGGTGGGAAATTAGTGAAGGAAATTCCAGTCTTAAACACTATTACGCTATTAAACACAAGTTAGCTGGTGGAATTCATTATTGAAAGACAGAATTGGGATTAACAATTTAGCAAAACTGAAAAGCAGGAGCTTTTGGACACTGTCAGAAACAAAACCTTTAGATATTGCTACCAGGGCTTGAAACACTCATTGTTGTGACAGATTATGTTGTGACACTCGTTGTGACAGAAGTTGCAAGACAGTGTTTTCTAGAGGCACCTTGCAGTGTGTTGAAGATATGTGGCAGAGGAAGGAAACACTGGGATATCCTTAGGGCTGGCAGGGCTTGAAGGAGGACAGAGGGTAAGCTCTTTGATAAAGCTGTTGCCCTTGTAAATGTTTATGCTGGTGCTCAGGGTCTATGATGACATGCATCCAAGAAATGCAGATTACAGAAGATTTCTGGAGTCACGGTAGTTAAAGTTTAAAAATAAACCAAACCCAAGCAGACATTTAGTAGTGTTCTAACTCACCATGACATGAGGCCAAATCCAGTTCTTCTCAGACAAGCACTAGGAGAGAAGCTTTTTTCCTAATTGTAGATCTGCTTACTGCCTGGTTGTGTTTGCCTTCTGCTTGTGCCCTTTGCAAGAGTTACTGTACAGGAATAGCTGGAAAGGCACAGCATGGCCCTGGCTCTGTCCCACCACTCCCTGTCCCTGAAATCCCTCCCTGCCCATGCAGGACACTTACTCATGCAGTCCCCTCCATACCAGCCAGCTCTGCACTCTGCACAGTAGATTCCCTTGATGTAGAAGTCGTCAAGCGTCCCTCCCCAGGAGCCATTGCGACAGGACTTGCAGTTCTCAAAGATGGTGCAGCCTAAAACAAGAGCCACTGTGTTAGATGAAAGCCAAGGTGGATTGTCCTGCAGGAAGAGGAACAGCCTCTCTATCTTTTCCACAGAAAATGTCAATGACGTTAATGACTGCGGAGGTGCTGACAGCTTTCCCACTGGGAACCATACCCAACCTCCCTGCCCTAGGCAGCTCAGACTCTGACATTTGGAACCAAACCCCTGGTGTGACTTGCCCAAACCTCTAAATCTCATTGCTCCAACTGTAAATGCCTCTCTCAGGAGTCTGCATGTGTGTGCTGACGCCACTTGGGCCCAGCCTAAATGATTCTGATGACTTCTAAACTGGTCCTAGCTCCTCCTGCTCTCTCCTCCTATCACCTTTCACTTTTCTTTTTCCTCCTTGCTTGTGGGACTTCCAAGTTATCTTGCCTTTTTTTGCTTTGGGGATGCAAATCAACCAAGAGTACCACCAAAACACTCCTGGTGCGAAGCCAGCTATAGTGTCACCTTTGGCAGCTTCCAAGTCCGCCCAAGACATGCTACAACACTGCTAGTAGAAAGTGTTGGGGTTTTTGGCCAGTAATGCTGCCTGCTTTAAGGAAACCTTGCCAAGTATCTTGCTGCTGTCAGCTGAGTGGCAGATGAAGTTCCTGAGGAAATGCAGGACATTCCCATGCCTCAGTGAGATGTGCTTGTTCACTACTGCCCTGCCCAGCATCTGCCATGGTGCCTTGGCCAAAGATTTGGTGTGAACACAGCATAGCCACAAACATACCTGGGTGGATTAAACAGGAGTCACACTCGTTCTCCTCGTTCCTGCAGCAGGGAATGGTGTAGCCCACTCTTTCTTTCTGTCCTGGGCAGATGCACTCGATTTGGTCATATTCACAGCATTCCCGACACATGATATTCCACTCAGCTCCTGGGCAGTTTTCATTGATCACGGTGTACTCTGTAGAGAATGGAGAGGAGGACACACGGAAATAATCCATTATCTGATGAGGACTGGCAGGATCTATTATCCACTGGTTTGTTAGATCATGAATGGCATCAGGCTGGCCAAGGTCTTCAGCCCAGAAACACCCAAACTACATGGCAACATACACCTGAAATGCCAGTGTGGTTTGCATGTCTAAGGAACACGCAGAAGTTTCACAATGCCAGCCAGAGGAACAAAACAGACCAGAGGGAAGGAATAAGTTTGCTTTCTCTGCAAGGACTCCCCACTTCTGTGGTGAGAAACATACCTTTAAAAAGCCACAGAGGATGATATCACGTGAGAAAGTTTCTTCAGATTGCAGGACAGATTTAAAGCATCATCTATAGTATAGATTATTTAAACTATGATAGTATGTTTTGGTTGTCTTTCTGCTTGTGAATTTGCTATTCTTGAAAACTAGGGGGCCCACCAGGAAAGGCTACTTTTCAAGTTGGATTTTAGCTGGTTTCACTCCCTATTTTCACCCAGAAGCACATGTTGTTACATTTGACTTCACTGCCAAAAGAAACAAGATTTTTTGTTATTTTTAAAGGTTTGTTTTGCCTGGCATTTCTAATATGGTAACATCTTTCTATGTGTTTATTTAGCATAACCTCATATGATATCTAAGCTGTGCTGGAAGTACCCTTTTAAGAAACAATCTCAGACTGTGACTCAGGACTGCCACAATAAGTGCAGATCCTGTCTTTCCTGCAAGTGTGCTGTCTAAATTCTACAAAGAGAGATCCAAGGAGTGCACAGAGCTGTCAGCATGCCTTCTAAGCAGCTGACAGCCCTGATGACTGCTTTCATGGTTTTTGATAGTAAAAAGAGAGAGCAGACTAGGAGGATGAGACATGAAGGAAACTTAATGAGACTAGCTCCTTTTTTTCCCCTTCTATCATCCTCTTTTTTTTTTTTTTTTTCTTTTTTTTTTTTTAATTGTGGTTAGGTAACAACCTTTTTTCTTGTGTATTAAACTCTGAGTCAACAGGTTGCCTTGTCATGAAACAAGCCATAGATCTCTAAGGTGAAACTCCCATCTATGCTGTACCTGTCTCCCTTCTCACCCAACTGTTTTTTGTTTCATTGTCATTAATGACCTAATTACGTGCCTGCTGGAGCTCCTTACCACTGAGTCTTGCTGCTCTGTCTCACTTGACCCTCCATGACCTCATGAAGCCTGGTTGCTGGAAGCTTATCTTCTCCCCTAATGATTTTTACTGACTCCATAAAAAAAGGACCACCAAACTGTTTCTTTTTTTTTTTCCCTTTGGCTGGGAAATGAAATCCAGCCCTTTGTGCTCCTCAGAACTGAGCATTTCCCTTGTCCCTGGTCTACTGACCAGGGAGAGTCTGCTGCTGCTCTAAGTTTAGGAATGAGGCTGCTGTTTGTGCTGAAACCTTTCCTTCCCACCTCTCTGCCCCATAATCATTCCAAAAAGAAAAAGCTGTTCCTTCCATCCAATAAGATTCTGTACTTTTTTTTTTTCTAGTAGTGGAATCTTGCATTGAAATAATCTTAGTGTTCAGCAGTTATACAGTTGAACAGTTTTTGCCTGTAGATCTTGACATGCTTTACAAAGTTCTCTTTCCAGATAGGAAAATGAAGCACAAGGGAGGTGAAGTGACTTTGCTCAAGGTCCCAGGGAAAAACAATAGTAGAGTCAGGAATTAAACTCATGCCTTCTAATTTCCAGAATAGCAGTCAATCATCCTGGCCAGGCTGGAGCTTCTTAACCTATGGCTATTATTCCTTTTTAATTAAGCCTTTTATCTATGAATTGTATCTGATTCAGATTCCAGAGAAAATTAATTACACACATCTAATTATCTCTGTAGAACTGACACTCAGTTTGATACATCTCACCATACAAGGCAGACAATAGCTGTGTCTCTGGTGTATGGGGTGGGGGTCTCACTCCTTCCTGAAGCAGTACTCTTTAAATGACTAATAAATAACTACCCAACACTCAGAGCTTTTGTAAAGCATGCTTTAAATTCTCAGTTTTCTAACTCAAGATAGAAATCTAATTTATCTCAAGCTTGCTAAAGCCTACTAATAAAGTGGATATATTATTCAAGGTATTTTTTTTGTCTGTAAAATGATCCAAATATTCACAGACAAATTTACATTGGGGTGACAAAGGAATGTTACCATCCTTGCAGGAACTCAAATCCTGGCAAGATAAGGCTGTAGGCAACACAACTTTCAAGTTAGCACCAAGAGATGGGCTGGACCAGGTGACATCCAGAGGTCCCTTTCAACTTAAATTACTCTATTCCTCCCTAAAATATTACACACGTATTTGTTTGTAAGTAGAGTGTGAATGTGTGCATATGCATATTTATTTTCATATGTTGAGCTCATGTACACAACAGAGCCAAAAAGCAGAGGCCACATTTATTCTTGATGGATCAAATGTGTGTATTTGTAGAATAAGTTGACCTTGAGGTAATATTTAGTGGTAAGAAGGGAGCGGCTGATACCGGCCCTTATAAAATTGTAGAAATATACTTGCTGACACCTAGAAATGCTGTTTGCTCACTTCTTTTGTCTCAGCTTAGACAATGAAAATAAACTGTCGTTTGACTTACTGACAATTTAGTTCCCTTTCAGGTTCTCAATTTCTGCAGTTTGGGCAATTTACATAGCCTTGATAAGGAAATATGTGGATTTGAGATTTCTTTAAGTAGCCATTCTAGGATTTTCTTCACAGAAATCATGGAATCTATTATTTTGAGGCTCTGTGGAAGCTATTCTTTAAAGAAATTATTGAAGAGTTTATGCAGCCCTTTAATAGTAGCGCGATCCCTTTTATTTTATCTCTGGGCTACTAAATAAAAGGCAAATAAAGCCTTTGCCTCAGATGTTTAAGAGGGATATGCAGAGAGTCACTTATGTGTGTAAGCAATGTTTGTTTGTGTGGCTGAGCTCAGCCTGTGCTCCAGGGACACAGAGGCATAACCCTGCTCCCCCTTGTGTGTTTGGGGATGGGCAGCCACTGGCAGCTCCCACACACACACTTGGCCATTATTACCCCAAAACAGAAGAGAATGAGGCAGGGAAAAGTGGGGGAAGATTTATTGACTGAGTAAAATGCTGAAAGCAAGGTCTCGGCCAGCTGTGGTAGAGATAATTGTGGGGTGTTTTGTGAGCTTCACTTTGATAATCTTCCAAAGCAGGCAGTCTGGCTTGCAGGCAGTGACTGTGTCTTTGATTTTGGGACAAGCTGGAAGAAGCTGCTTGACAACCCATGCAAAATATTTAACTGCAAAGAACAAACAAGACTCTGGACAGCAAATAAACAGTGGATTAATTTATGAGATTTTAATGATGGAAGAAAAGCCCATTAAATCCAGGCATAAACAGCTCACATGGGAGCAGCTCAAGACCATGGAAACCAAGCAAGAAATGCCTGTGTTGAGAACACACAAACATCCAGGGCATGTGCTGAAGGGAAGACCTGCTTGGCTCAGGAGCCTGGCACAGCCAACCCAACACTTCACCTGATGCTTTGGGTCCAGCCTGAGCAGGACTGTGAGGTGGGAGATCAACATTTTCAGGTTCAGATTGCAGCACATTCATGCTTGGCTACTTACATCTGCACCTAGCAAGACCTAGTCCCTACAGCATGTCAGATCCTAGAGGCTGTCAGTGATGGGTTTTGTAGGACACCAGTTGGAGGCGATGCTCCCAGACAATGTTCTCTTTGTTGGCAGTATCAGTCCAACAACAATTCCCCTCAGTGATGCTGCTGCCTCCCCTCATCCCCAGGGCTGAGATCAGGCTTAAAGCCTTGGTGATTCAGGAACAGATTCAAAAGCACATTGTTGCCTCAGGGGTGGGTCAGGCCGTTCATCGTGGTGAGATGTCAGGTTCAGGTGACTAATCTTTTGCCATAGTGAATTTGTATATGATAGATACCTGGCTAGATGGAAAGGCGTTTCTGCTCTGAAGATCTGAGAGCTGGGAAATCTGTGTAGCTAAGAACTAAGGTGAATTGAAGCAAGCCCAATTAGACCAATTATCTTTTGTGTCTTCCACTTCTTTGGAAGAATGAAAATTTTTTAGAGTACAGTCACTTTAAGCTGATATGAGCCTGTGCTGCTGCTGAGATGGGACATTTTTTCTGCCTCCTCTCCCTGACTTCCCATTCCCATCCCTGTATTTGTGCTGACAGTAGCTGCCATGTGAAGGCATCAGACAAGTGATTGAGAAAAAAACCAATTTGCCATATTTGTCCTTGGATGGAACTTTCTGTGCTACAAGTCCATTTTGTTATCCTGCAAAAGTTTTCCTTCCATGCCTAGTTTATCCATCAGTACATTGGCAAACACTACTTAAGCTCAAAGAAATATTATTTCGAATTGCTTTGAAAAGTGCCATGTGCAGTAACAGTGCAGTGTAAGCAAGACCAGATACAAACAGATAGATACATCTCTAGAATTTGAGTCCATAGAGGATGACTTTTTCAAAGTGATTATTTAAACATTTGTGTTCCACAGATGAGAACATGCCCCTTTGTATTTGATTTCATCTTTATTTTTCAACATGCTGCTCAAAAACTACTGTATTGAAGAAAAAAGCAGTCAGATTTGAAGGAGCAATTTCTTAAGTCTGTTAGTAGGGAATGTTTGGCCATGTAATAATTCTGAAAGGATTCTTTAACTTCTCATTAAAGAAAAGCCAGTTTCAACAGAGATGAAACCTAGCAGCAGCTTACAGTTTCTTTAGGTCTGTCTCATTTTTCTGCTCCTTTCTTACTTGGCTCTACTGCCATTGTACAGATATGCAAGCTGGTGTATCAGGTGTGATGCAGCGATCAGGTGTGTGCACACTGACAACAGGAAATGCTCTTGAGTGCACCACTGGCTGAAACAGTGGCTCCATTGTGATGAAAGTAAAATTCTCCATTTGATTTCAGTGAGGCCAAGAGGAAGACACTTTGGAAGGGAAGGGGGATGTTCCCTTCAAGAGACTTTTACTGGGGCTCTTGGAAAATGAGGTACCCCAAACCCTTAATAATAAAGGAAAGTGCAGGTCTTTATTGTTAACCTTTTTGCCTCTGATAAACTACTGTGCAAATTATGTCTATTTGTCTCTTTGATGTGTTAAGAGGATGAAAGGGATAATGCTGTCTCTAAAACCACTTGCTTCTCTTTAGAAATTATGTACCTATTACTCTTTTCAGCAGCTGGGCTAATTAAAAGAGGAGGTAAAATACATCCCTGTTTTAGTTTTACTCAGTGTGCTTACTTACTTTACAGTCACAGACATTTGCTGAATAATTAGACTGCTGCTTCTACAGAGTCAGTTAGCATCCTTTTCTGCCTGTACTGTGTGCTTTCACACAGTGGCAAGTGGGGACGGGCAAAAAGAAAGGATCTCTATTTTACAAAAGAATCAAAGCCAGTGGAAGAACACAGGAGGAAATCTACAATACTAAGTGGAATCTGCCCACTTCATAAATGCACACTAATTCAACTATCTTTTTAAAATATCCTTCTCCTGTAGTTTCTTCTCAGTGTTTATTGACCTGGCATTTGTGATCTTATTATTGGAACTGTGGCCTTGTGGCTTCATTTGAGAAAAGCTGTGGCAGGAAGAAATAGCCAGGTTAAGGCTTTTCAGAGGTTGCCACATCACCCTTTAGGCTTCAATTCTCTCTGGAACAGAGGATCATATTCTGAGCAGAAAAATTGTACTAGTATGATCAGGAAGAGAATTTGTTTTCTCTGTGCTGCAAGACAAGGAACAGGAGCAGGTAATGAATGTAGAACTTTTGAGTAAGTGACAGCATTGATGATGTTAGACTTCTGCAATAGGGGAGAATGTTTGGAAATCTGCAGAGAAGCAGCAGCTGCAGTATTGAAATTCATGACCACATAACATGAGAATGTGCTCGTGTCCTAAACGTAGAGGAGTGGCGCTGGACCTGTCTTGAGGACTTGCCTCTTGTAATGGTGTGAGACCCACAACACGTTGACAGCTTAACTTGAAGTTAACGTTGCCCAGATAGAAACAGTCCAGACAGGCAGCAGCAACCCTCCTCAAATGTTAGTCCTTACAGCTCCCATGGAGTGTGTTGTCCAGCCCTAACCAAGGGCTGAAGATGCTCTCGGTCTGCCAGGCCTCTGTCCCTACTGATGGCTTGCCTCTCTGCCCTGTGGCCTTCCTTCCAGTTTGCCCCTCACTACGTCCCTATTCTTGCAGGAGGGAGAGGGGCACCCACACGCCCAAGGGAGGTCCTGCTGCTGTCCTGTGATGGTCAGGCATCCTTCAGGCTGGTGGAGAGAAAAATCCTGGGCATTGGCAGGCTTGCCGGGACTCCTGGGAGCTACTTGAAGAGACCTCAGGGTCAAAAGTGAGTAACCCCAGCTTTTTTTCCAAAATAAAAAGCAAGTTTCTTTCTCTTTGTCCATGCTAGAAACATAAACATGTGAACTGAAGTAACCCATTTGCTAAGATTGAATGCATCTGGATGTGTCTGAGTGCATCTGGCCTTCCCTTCTCTAGACAGAGGCTGGAGGGGGAGGGGAAGAGAGGTTGGGAAGGGTTTAGATAGGCAGAAACACACAAAAACACATATATTTTTAAGGAAACATGAGTCACTTGCACTCCAAGTTTATTCCAAAAAGTAAATTCCCAGACCGCCCTGACTCCTGCCCCCAGCTCTCGAGGCAGGCCCTGTGCAACTGGGTGTGATAAATATGGATAAAAATTGGATACATCTGTGGGGAGGAGACAAAACGCTATTTTCCAACCTGCCCTGACATGTTAAGGCCACTGCACTCCTGAATCGCTCCCCTGTCTCTGAGAGCCCCTCCTGCTGTGGCTGGAGGGGGCTCCTGGCCCCTCATGCTGCCAGCTGTGTGCCCAGCGAGAGCCAGCAGTGCTCCAGCAGCAGCAGGGCAGGGGGAAAGGGGGACAGGGGGCAAGGGGGACAGCTGATGTCCATGTGTCCTGCAGGCTCTTCTCACGCTGCTCCTGGTGTGCAAGGAGTGGGTGTTGGGGGAATCAGCACCCTCCCTCCAAAGCCCACAGCCCTTGTGTCCCACTGGCCATTGTTGTCCTTCCTCCTGCCTCCCCTTGTCACTGCTGCCTTGGGGACTCACTGCTTGATTACTCTGCAGACCAGATTCTTGCCATGGCAGAGATGTGCTGTCCCTGCAGCAGGAGGGGTTTATGCCCACCCAGCTGCCTGACAGCCACAGCCTGTGCCCAGGGATGCTCTGCCACTGGCAGGGCTACTTCTGTGCCACTCCAGCACACGACACATGCCATGGAGCCACCTTGCCTGGCCAGTGTGCAAGGTGGCACGTGTCTGAGGGACAGGCCACTGCAGGGACAAGTCAGTGCGTGTGACACAGAGGTGGGGAGAAGCTCTCTGTGCTTGTGACCCAGGGGGAGCTTTGGCAGGAGCCTAGCCTCCCAGGATGGCTGCAGGTGCTGCTGGCCAGCCTGGTGGGCAGATGACCCTGGTCATCACCTGATCCCTGTGTCGTGAGGGCTTGGCAGAAGAGAGCACTGCAGAGGCAAACTCTGCTGCAACCCCTGCTGAGGGGGGCTCTGAAGCACCATGCTTGACACCAGTTCTTTACAGTCATTGAGATCTGAGTGCCTGCAGATCTGACAGCTCCCCTGGTAAGAGGAGTCAGCAGTGCTGAAATATGCAGCAGCTTCAAGAGTGGGTGACTTGAGGGCAACTCAGCTCCCAGTCCTTAGGGCTACAGCTCCCAAGAAAGCAGCCCACGATGCTGACAGCTGGCTGCTGCAAGCAGGTCTGGACACCTCCAGGTGTAAACAGCCCAGGTTCGTGGCCATAACTACAGCAAATTTGCACTCAACAGTAAATGCTTTTTGCTCAACCTTATCAAGATAATACTTGCTGGTTCAGCAGAAACTGGGATGGGGCTTGACTATAAAAAAGATCGTTCTGCTTTAACAAGGCTTTCCCTTTGAGAGAATAATATTGGAAGAGCTAAATCCCAGCTTGGAAACAATGTGTGGGTTTTGTTTTCTTTTTTTCCTTCACTTTTTTCTCCCTTGCGTTCATTCTTGGTGTTGGGGCTGGAGAGGAAAATCTCTGTCTTGCCAAACTAAACAAATTACGCTTTACAATTCAGAGTCTTAAATGCCTCTTTTTATCATCATTTCCGTAGCACTGAGTGTTGAGAAAATAAAAAGAGTAATAAGAAAAGTGATTGCATACATTTTTCTTAATGGCCATTGGCAAACAAATTCAGCCAGTTGTTTCTCTTTAAGGCTATTAAGTTTGCCTGAAAATCATTCCTGAGTAAAACACACACACACACGCACACACATGCTCTCCATGCTGACAAGAAAAAAAGTACATAAAGCAGAGCCCCTTCTTTCTGTTATTGCTGTCCCTGCAGACCTCTGCTTCCCATGACAGCGCATGAGATCAAACCCCTCTGACCACGCTGAAGGGAAGGGGCTCATTCGACCATGCCGGGAACACACACGCTCTCTTACAGTACCTCTTGGCAAGCAGGAGATGAGCAGGAGCTGGAGAAGAGTGAGTCCTACAAGTGTCCAGGGTGCTCGCTCCATACTGCCCAGGCCAGTGCAGCGGTGTGACTGCTCGGGAAGGGAAAGCAGGCAAACAGCTTTTACCGGGACCTCACCAGCTCCAGGCTGCGAGGGATCTCGGATTTCAGACCTCAGCACGCTCCCATCCTCACCAGAGGGGAACTACCTTCAAGAGACTTCTCAGGCGTCCAGAAGCACACGTCACCCCAAACCTCTCCAACTGCTGCCTTAACCCTTTCTGGACTCTGGCAACAGATCCCTTTTGTGATGGCTTTATTGGCTCAGTGCTCAGAGCAGAGATAGCAGCTTTCCTTATGTAAAGAAAGATGTTTTAAAGCGGGGAGAAAGGGGAATGCTGATATGTCTCTGTATGAGCCATCCCGGTTGCTGCGGGTGAGCTGAAGTTACGGACACCTCCAGAAGGAGGCACTTTGTCCTTGCTCCCCTTGGGCTTGTGGGGGCTGATGCATCCCCGGGGGTGGCAAGGCTGGGTGTGGGATGGGTGCAGAAAGGGATTCCTATCCCACACTCCTGCAGTTGGGCAGCCTGGCCAAGTGACGTGGTTCACTTCACAATGTGCTTAAAATAGCCGTGCATTTTTATGATGGGGCAGATGAATGAATGAGGCTCAGTAAAAGTTCACTCCACAGTGGATGGAAACCACAACACACAAAAGGAATCACTTGGCATACGTGTGCTTGTGCTAGTCAAAACCTTTTTAGTGTCCATTTCTGCCAGGAAATGCAATTTTGGCAAAATTGAAATGTTTTGTCGGAACATGTTGATATTGAGGAAATCTTTAATCCAAACAAATGAGACCATTTAGATTAGATATTATCTTTGTGTCATATTCTGTTTTGACTTTTCTATTAGCACATGCTACTGACTTTTTCTCTGGTCTTCAACCCATATTTCATAGCAGCATACTTAATTTTCTCTAAAATTTTTCTTGAACAATTTTTTAATACTTTCTAAAGGATGTTTCTTACCTCTGAATCAAACTTTCTCAATTTGATTTCTATAGCAAGATTTCAAAATTTATATATATTATGAGGGGGGAAAATTGAAAAATTGGCATTTGCTTTGGAGTAGGAAATCAAGTAACCAAAAAAGCTTTAACAAATACCTACAGTTTGGAAAACTCAGGCATGTTGAGCAGAGCCAAAAATGTGAGAGGCATTGCCAATGGAAGCCTTGAGTAGTTCAGTGCAGTGCAAAATCCCCTACACCTTCAGGTGGTCTTTCATGAGGTGAATTCCTTTAACCAGACATCTCTCTAGTTTAGGCTTGTCTGTGAGTCAACCTCTTTTTACACTGTGAATGGTCTTTTCAGGATTTGTGCACCTTCCATATATATATATATATTTTTTTTTTTTTTTCCCAAATCTTTAACTCTACCGTTGGGAATACTAATAGAAGAAGACCAGAGATAGGTGCCAAGATTTTATGGCACATAATCCTTGCTGAGCTAGCCTGGCTGTCGCCCTGGATGCTTTGTAGCCCAGGAGGAGGTCACCAAAGCTCTCTAAGTCTCACTGGGCCTTATTAAGCTCAGTTACTACTTTCTCCTGGAGTCCTTTGTGGACATCTCTTGCCCCAGGACCCTGAAACTCTGCCTTGGTGGTCCCTTGCTCCTTCTGATCATTCATACATATGCTCTAAACTCCTTCCTAATTCCAGCTTTGGGCTCCTCTAACAAGCCATTTCTGCCCAGTGGCAGGAGGAAAAAAAACTGAGGATAAAAATGAAGCCCCCAGGAGCAGATGAAAACAGTGAAAATGGGAAGCTCTTACATCTTCACAAATAAACGCTAAGCTATTTTAAAGCCTGTGTAATCATGATTAGTTTATTTCCTAGACATACTTTCCAATAAGCAATTAAATTATTTAAGCTAGTAAGACCTTCTTGGACTGCAAGTTGACTTACAGATGTCTGAGGCTTAGATGTCTCTGAGGGGGACTGCTCATGGGGATGTAAGCCAAAATCTGGGTTTGGTGTGTAAAGTGAATGGAAATCACAGCACTGAGTGAGGCTGGACACAGGGAAGCAGAGTTTTAAAGACAGACACAGAAGATTTAATACTTGGTTTCATAAAGGCCAGAACCACTGGGGAAAATATGCCCACAAGGGCCACAGCTATTCATTTGGATCAATTCCTGTGGTGAGACATTCAACATACTAGAAAAGGAATAGATGAAGTTGTGTCTGCAGGAATCAGCTCTGCAGGGACACCTATTTTAGGGTGGAAAAGTGGCCCTTGTGTACTAAGGAGGTGTGAACTAAAGGGTTAACTGGTAGATGTATGACTTTTTTTTCCTTTTTTGGTCTCTGAGGGAATGTAATTATACCACCAGAAGATACAGCCACACTCAGCATGACTCTACAGTGCTTAGCTTAGCTCGGCACCTTGCAAAATCAGTTTAGTTGGTGGATCCACTGCCTCCTTAGAGAATGATTTCAGCAGCCAAACAAGGGAATTCAGTCATGAGCCCACAAGTTTGCACATGGCCTATTTACATGGGCTGTCTGTTGGGATGTAGCTTTAGTCCCAGGAATGACTATAGGCAACTTACACAGTGCTCCTGAATGCCTTTCTTGCATTCCTATTAAGAGGCAGGGACCAAACCATGCACAGTGCACCAGCCAAATATTTCAGGTTGTATGTAATCCCTCATGAAAGAGAGCTAAAAGCTCTTAACCATGTGTCTGTGCTGCTGAGGAATCTCACTGTAGCATTTGGCTTCGATGCTGTATCTGCCTTACCATTGAATGTACAGGTTTGGAAAGTACATTCCACTGAAACTGAATTGT